TCGGCGATCATGTTCTCATCTTGACGGTCAGATTTATACATACGTGTCCGTTCGGATGGTTGAGATTGAGGGGGTAAATTGAGGGAGAGAAGGGAAGTGACGGGCCCACGCCGTTGTCAGAAATAGGGAGTGCCACGTGTGGGGGATGGGGGAGTTTGGTGTTGAAGAAGGTCAAAAGGTGGCGGTGTTTGTTGACAGAGACCGTTGATAAATTACCAAAAAATAATGTTAGGGGCACACTCTTAATCATATTCTCACATTTTTTATAGTGTTAGTAGGTCATGCATGATATTTTTTTAAAAATATCTTACATGGCCCACTAGCACTATAGAGAGTGTGAGGGTGTGGTTGGAAGTGTGGTTAAGGGTGTGCTCCTAGTGTGACTCATTACCAAAAACTCGTTAGTAAGTTACCAGGCACGTGTTGATTAACATTTAAAAATAATAATAATTCTCCCTGTCCTCATTCCTGACAAGACACATAATGAGATATAATTACAAGATGTTTTAAGAAGTAATGTCCCAAAAAAAACCCATAAATTAAAAGGAAGCCCAATTTTAGTTGGCTCGAAAATTTAGATGGAATCCATGACACATCAATGGCACGGATTCCACATCAATGGCAAAGACCGAAGGAAAACCAAGCGAATGCTTGACCAAGGTTTTGCTTCAATGGTGTCTTCGGCAAGTGGCAATCCACCCCAAACTAGGTGGGGGTCAATCCTAACCTAATTTTAGCATAAATTGGTTCCAGTTTGGACTAAGGGAGGGGTTGTCCAAATTATAACCAGTTTAATGGTCAAATTCTGGCCTACAAAAACCAGGCGAACCTTGGCCCAGCTATTTGACACGCACAAAAGCACCCAAAACGGGGTCACATTTCTATGGTGCACAACACCTTTTGCATATTAGAAAGGAATATCAGATGTTTTTTTGATCAATCAGACATCAACGATTTCCAGGAGTAAACTGATATATCACTCATTCAAAATTTTGTATAATTATGCAGTGAATTTGTAGTAATACAAGAACCACAGGAAACAAAAACTGGACAACACTACATTACGATACGCTATCAAAAAGAGTGAAGAGATGGGCACAATATGCTTGCCTCTATCTCCTCGCATCTAGTTCCTTAGGCCGCCATGATGTCTTCATAACACATAGTACCCCTTCATTTTGTTTTGAGAAAGACATTCTGATCTCCCAATTCAAAGATTTTGCGATGCTCTCCACCTCGTTGATCACCTCTATGTTGTCCCTGACGATTAACTTTCCTTCTGGTCGTAGCATGCGGTCTACTTCCGCCATTAGTGGTAAAATCTTGCATCTGGTAAGGAGAAATGGTTAATTAGACAAAGAGAAATGTAAGTTATATAAGACTTGCGCAGCGTCTCCGGATGGTGTCTTTTCAGAAAACTGTAAATATATAGATGCGCCGAAACTGACATGGCATATAGTATTATTGTTAACAAAGGCCACAGTCAACTGAAACCAGGACTGTATAGCCAAAACAGCGGTATTACCACTGTATCGGGCTTCAATGTCAAAATAGTGATGTAATATGGATGGTACATGAATTTTAGGTCCCTTCTATGACCCTAAACTCTGAAACTCCAAGATTGTGGCCGGGTTTATAATTTATATGCATCCTTCTCAATGGCTGCAACCTGAACTATTTTATGCAGTGTATGTTTATTCTGAAACTTGTGTTCAGTGGGATTAATTTGAATCTGGGTTACTTTGATATCATATTAAAGCAATAAAGCTCCCTTATACAGTTACACTACACCACAACTTCAAAATTGCAGCGAGGCGTGCTATAATTTATACTCTAACACGGGATTCATGAAGTATGGATCTTTAATGTTACAGACAATTATGATGGTCAAAATTGGTATTGATATAAATAAGGTGAAAAAGAAGCAGCAGACATGAGTTTTATATTGTCTGTCTTGTAGAAGGGATGAGGAATGAAGATTGCTAATTTATATCACTGGATGAATCGGACAAGGTTGTCAAGAGAAAGATATAGACAGGGATTCACTGCGAACAGTACAGATTTTGGATTGACTGAAACAAATCACCATCATTCACCTGAATTAATATCGCATGTATGAAGGGAGATCTCAAATTAAGAACCACCTGAGACCTGATACATAATGTTTTTAATAAACCAGGACTAACAAGGAATAAGATGTTCAGGTGAGATTAGTTAGATTCACAAATTAACTTTTCCCCCCGGTACATCATCATCAAATGCTACATTCAGGATTTGATCATCGGACCTTTGGTTGCTCATGCTTCTATTACCAATGCCAAAAGGTTCCAACACCACTTATAGTTTCTACCTGTTTTCTATTTCTTAAGGCTAGATGTGCAAGTACATGGCGGTATTTTTCTCAGAAACTGGTTCATTTCCTATTATACCTTTTGACTTCTATTGACTTCTTAAAATGCTCATATGTAGCCACTTGGGAGAAAGTTCTGCCTGGAATGAGTAAATTCTTAAAATGTTCACTCTAAACCTGGGTCGCACAATTATATAATAATCGTAATAATAATAATAATAATAATAAAGGCAGTACCTGACCCTGAACCCCTAATATTGTCCAGTTTCGTAAACTACAGAAACACATTTAATATATGCAGAGAAAAGAGAGTAGATTCGAGAAATCGACTGATATCATTCTGAACCAATTAAAGTTACAAATATGTGAAAACTGTGCATAAAACTGACCTCTTCTTTATTCTGGAAAACAGATGATCTGCATGGAGAAGATCATATGATCTTGGGTAGGTGCTGAAAGATTCGCACCAATCATGATACATTCCAAACAGCCCACGCTCATAAATAATAGGAAGGGTGTCTGGGGAATCGATTGGGACTATGTTCATGACCCACAACTTCATATCTCGCAGAGCTGCAGCAAACCTGTTCAGAAAAAACACCAAAATATAATGAAAAGTTGATAGAGACTGTATCTATTCTTCTCATCAGCTAGGATTCAAATGTTATATAACCAAAGGATGCTAACCATAAATATGATCACACTTTTTATAGAAGTATAACACAATTTGCAAATAGTAACATAGACTCGGTAGCATACAGCCACTAAAATATAATACAGTGCAAGAAAAACTAAAGATGTAATATATTGTCAAAAGAGGCAGAGATAAATATTGACTAAGACCAATTGTATCTGTTGGTGCTGTACCGGATAGGATTCGGCTTGGAGACAACAAATCCACTTGTTGATCAATCACACAATTCTATGACTTGCTTCGTTGAGGGATTCTAACCCGAGGGCAAATCAAGGATCCATATCAAAGCTAAAACCTATGATTTAGCATATCCAAATCTGGGTTTCAAATTATGGAAATCAAACACTTCATGAAGTACAAACTTAAAAACAATTTTGAAAATAACGATAACGCATAACGTAACGCTCTACCTCTTGTTAAGGGTTAAAGGAAAAAACATGCAGAAAACGTAACACGTAAGATAGTTTATTTTGTTTCATAATTGTTTATATATTTTATAAATACAAACTATTCATAGTGACTTTAATTATTAGAATCATCAAAATTTTCAAACATAACATTACAGCTACGAACAAAATATTTTCTTACTATTTAATGTAAAAAATATAAAAGATGTTAATAATAGTTTTAAGAATTAGGAACAAAATATCATAATACAAAAAGTATATTAATAAAAAATCTTTAATTTAATACAAGCTATATAGATTGACTAGGAAGCATCACAATCGAATACTCGAGTATTCATTCATAATTACATTTGTTTTATTAGTCATATTCCTAATTTTACAATCACATAATGATGTCACCAAAACATGACATACAGGCTTAACAAAGAATTCCAAAGCGATTACATAACTACTTCAAGCTTTAAGAAAGAACATACTCTCAAGTCTATAGAGCTCCTATTGAAATAATGCAAAATTAAATTGAAATAACACATGTTATATTGAAATAATGTAAGTTATACTGAAATAATGCATATTATGTTGTAATAACATAGAGTTCTAATGTGTCTGAGTTATTCCATAACGGTACGTAACATTTAAGGTCTGTTAGGTCCGTTAGGTTATATAATGCAATATAACGATTTGCGTAACTGGTTTTTTTTCAACAATTCTTAAAAATCAAAGGAAATAACAAGATTTTCTGGCTTGCATGTTTTTTCTCCTTGTTTTTTCTTGCTCTGATCTGCAATTCACAGACTGCTCGAGAAATACTTGAGAGCTTGATTCAGGTACTCACACTGATACCGGTTACTTGATATAATAGTGCTATTGTTGAGTTATTTAGATACTAAGTGAATTAGTCAATGTTGTAAGGACCTAGTTGTAAGAATGTATTAATATAAAAGAGGGGTGGTATCAGAGCTGTGGCGGCTCCTCTTGAAGCTATCGGCTTGTTCGAGCTCTTCAATCAAACACCGATTCCCTTCCACCGCCGCCCTCTTGTTGATGTCCCCTTCCACCGATTCTCCCTCCTGAGTCGATTCCTTGATTTCCGCCCCCAGCGCTGCCGCCGCCGCCGACGTCAAGGGTGTCGTCGCCTTCGCTGAGGACCCGCTGCCCTGCCCTAGGTGAGGACGACGCTGCCCTAGGTGAGGACGACGCTGAACTCGACGGACGACGATTCCATTCCGACGAGTCCCCTGACCTAGGGTTCTGTAGCCCTCGGATTTGAAGGAGGACTGGTGATTGAGGGCTGGTGCGACCTTTTTTTGAAGGAGGTTTGAAGGAGGTACTGTTCTTTTGAAGGACTGGCCATCGATTTCTTTTAACCTTCGGGTTTATTAACCTTCGGGTTCTTGAAAACTTTAACCTTCGGGTTTATTAACCTTCGGGTTCTTGAAAACTTTAACCTTCGGGTTTATTAACCTTCGGGTTCTTGAAAACTTTAACCTTCGGGTTTATTAACCTTCGGGTTCTTGAAAACTAACCTTCGGGTTCTGGAAAACTGACCTTGAGCTTGGTCGAGGAGTTGTAGAGTGAGATCTGAGAATCTAGGGGTTTGGATCGAGATCTACCCCTCGGATCTGATCGAGGTGAAGAGAAGGGGATCAACTGTGAAGATGGGAACACCTGTGACTAGTCAGGAATTGAAGGAGATCCTGGAGGGGGTGGCCAGAGTATTTCAGACCAAACTAGAGGAGAATTCTAGTAGGTCGGTTGTGACCACATCGGAGTCGACGCAGGTAATGGAGAGGGTAAAGTTGCTGCCGAATGACATCAAGCTTGAGGGGACAAGAAACTATCTGAGTTGGTCTCGGAGGGCATTGCTGAACCTTCGAATCAAAGGACTTGAAAAGTATGTGAAGGGGGAATGCATTGAGTCGGAGAATAAGACGAGTGCTGAGTGGAACACATGGAGTAATACTAATTTTCTGGTGGTTTCTTGGTTGTTGACTTCTGTGTCTCCAACCATAGCTGGGATGGTGGAGTCTATCTCAAGTGCAGCTGATGTCTGGAGGACATTGGAGGGGATGTACTCTGGACTGGGAGTGTGATGATGATGATGAGAGTGGAGGAGAAGATTGATGCTACCACACAAGGGGAGAAGACAGTCCACCAGTATGCAGCAGAGCTACGTCACTTATGGGCGGATTTGGATCACTATGATCCATTATCACTACAAAACCCAGCAGATGTTCTTTTGGGGAGGCAGTATCTTGAGCGCAGGCGTGTGGCTCGTTTTCTTAAGGGTTTGAACCCAAAGTTTGAGGGGAGGAGGGCAGCAATGTGCCATCTGTCATCTCTTCCCTCTTTGGATGAGGCTATTGCATCGATGGAACAAGAGGAGATCAGACAGAAGGTGATGACAGGTGAGGCCTCACCTGCTGTCCGCTCGGCATTGGTGGTTCCGGATGCTCACATCAGAGATGATAGAGAGTGCAGAGGTAGGGCATCTGAGACAGATGTGCCCTAAGCCACCCAGAGAAAGGAACTGGGGTGAACGTGGTCAGACTGGTGGCCGTGCAGGTCGAGGAGGCAGGGGACGTGGAGGCCGAGGAGTTGCTCACCTAGCTGTGGCAGATGAGTCCCAGGCTACTATTGGGATGACTGGAGCTGAAATAACAGAGCTGGAGGAACTACGTCTGTTCAAGCTTCAGGCTGAGAGTTCGAAGGGCAAGGGACAAGTCACTCAGAATCTGGATACAATTACATGCTTTGGTAACTTTATTGGTTATGCTCATGCGAACAAAGGTACACAGGTTCAGGCACTTGCATCCACTAAAACTCATGTTGATTGGATCATAGACTCAGGTGCATCTAGGCATGTCACGGGAACATCTAGTGAGTTTGCATTATATTATCCTAGTAAGCATATGCATCCCGAGACAGTTCAGATTGCTGATGGGACATCTCAACCCATCAGAGGTACTGGCTCAGTCCATTGCACTTCATCTGTTACCTTGTCATCCGTATTGCATGTTCCTTCGTTTCCAGTTAACTTACTCTCAGTTAGCTCTCTCATTGATCAATTAAATTGCACTGTGTTGTTTGATCGAGACTGCAATGATTGCTGCTGCTGTTAGCGGAGGGGCAGAGGCAGAAGCGATGCTTCAACATTGCCGGTTAGGGCATTTATCTTTTGAGAGTTTGAATAGATTAGAACCCGAGTTAATGAAGAAAGTGGATAGAAAAGAGTTATTTTGTAATGCATGTGAACTTGGAAAACATACTCGTTCTACTTATAGAATGATTGGTGTTCGAAGTTGTAAACCATTTGCACTTGTCCATTCTGATGTTTGGGGACCATGTCCTACTACCTCTATTAGTGGTTTTAGATGGTTTGTTACTTTCATTGATTGCTATTCACGTATGGTCTGGATATACATGATGAAACAGAAATCTGAGGTTTACAAATGTTTTCAAGACTTTTCGGCCTATGTGAAGACACAGTTTGGAGTGCAGGTGAAGATTCTCCGTGTTGGATCCTCTTGTTTTGATAATGATTTAACAAACAATTTACGACTAATATTGGTTTTAGTATTTTGTTTTGTGTCGTTTAGTATATACAGTACCAAGTTGAGCATATTGAAGATCTTATAGCTTGGGTAAATTAGTTTAGGGTTTATATAATGTGTGTTAATTCTATAAAGCTCAAATATACACACACATATATATTTGTGATTTTCGTAACTATAAGTGTTTTTATGCAAAATAAGTTTTGGACTATATTTACATCATAAACAACTTTTATTATGTCCATATAAATATTCCATAAGTTTTCAAAACTTGTTTTGAGTCAAAAATAAAAATCACATGTTTTGCATATATACGTCTTTTAGTGCTTTTGCAGAATACAGTGTTTTTCACAAATTATAAATGCAAATTGAAAAATTCTTTTTCCAGCATGTTTGTATGTATGATTATAAACTTTTCCCAAGATTTTATATTTTTTTGGAAATTGTTTACTATTTTTAAAGAGCCCTCAAAAGTCAGATTTTGGACATGCACAGTGTCTGTGCATGTTCATAAGTCGACTTATCAGGTCTGATAAGTCGACTTATGAACTAGCCTGGAATATGCAATTTTTGCTCTGCTGAGTCGACTTGTTTTACAGGTAAGTCGACTTGTACTAAGTCGACTGTAAGTCGACTTATAATCTGTTATTCTACATGTCTTTTTTCTTCTGTCAAGTCGACTTGTGTTTCCTGTTAAGTCGACTTATATATAGCCGTTGGCACAGTAACGGCTAGTTTCCAGCTTTGTTTATTTTAATGTTTTAAGGGTTTTAGTTGGATTTTTGGGCTGGTTTCTTCAAACCTATAAATACTCCTTTGCATTAACTATTTCCAACCACTTAAGAGAGTTTTAAACAAGTTTTTAAAAAGTGATTAAAAGTTTGTTTAGTTTGTTTTAAGTTTGGGGTTTTGTTTACAAAGGAGGAAGCTTACGTTGTCAATTAAGGGATTC